AGCAAAGCATCTATGTGCCTTGTAGGATCCTGTGTGTCGTCGTGGCAGGCGTGTTCTACCTTCCCTTTCAATATGCTGCAAAGGGATGGGGAAGTGGAGACGGGGAAGAAGCAGCTGCCGTGTTTGATAGGCAATGAGGTTTCATTTAGATTAGATCCTTTGCTGCGGGATGAATGCTCTCTATTGACCTAAGCATGAGTCATCTCAATACTCCAGTGAGTTTTCAAAGGAGCTCGAGATTAAGTGTGCTTGTAGATAAAGTGGCAGGCTGGCTCTGTGGAACTGGAAAGGAGGTGTTGAATGGTGTTTCTGAGGAGTTATGATCTCAGTCCTCCTGCTGAGTGAGGGGTTGGTGGATGTTTGCCAGCCTAAAAGACTCATCTTCAGACAGGACAGAGCTTGAGGTGTATCCTGGGCAGCACAAGCTCCCCAGTTCGTGCCAGTACTGGTTTTGTCCTAAGGATGAACGTATGATTTAAGTCTTGGAGGTCACCAGGTTGGTAACTCTTAGAAGCACAAACAAGTACTCAAAAACTTGTCACAGTTTTGCATTTCCTTCCAGAAGTATGTAGGCACAGTTACTGCCACAGTGGCGGGTGGTAACCTGTCAGTTCACTGCGCGCTTCTATGTACTTCAAACATTTGACACATTAGCAGTGGCTGCTTGTGAGCTTTTACCTTCTGAATGTGCAAACTTGGGGGTTTTGACAGGCATTCAGCACTGGTACAGTTCTGTGGGATTGTACAAGGTGTGTAAACCACACCAATGTGACTAAGGAGCTTTGTTATAGTTGCTCTGTCATGAAAAATACGTGCATTTGAGAATCTCAAGGAGATTGGGCAATAGTGTGCTATGGAAACTTGCATTTCACAGGAAGAAGGCAGTTTCAGGTTGGTGCCATGGTTTTCTGTATGATTTTCTTTTTGTGAATAATAGGTATTAATGGATTATTTCAATAGCTGGAAATAAAATTAGAGCCCCCTGTACTAAAAGCGTGCAGATACTTTTCCACCTTTTTTCCCTTTAGCCCAGTGCAGAAAGCCCACATACTGGGTCACATCACAGGCCCTCTCCGTGT